AATTACATTCAAATCACCTTCGCTGATATCAAACTTAAAATATATTAGATAATGTCTTATAAATAAGCTTCTTATCTAATGATAACAGTTCAATTTTTAAATAATTGTATTTTTTACTTGTAAAAATATAATATGTTGAAACAAATATATTAAATAAATAAAAAAAATGTCTTTACTTTCATTGGAAATTTTTCGATTAATTACTTTTTTTGCAAAGCACAAATGAATGCTCAAATCAATGTTAAGTAATACTTTTTTTAATTTTAATAGATTTTAAATTTTCTTATATTGAAACATTTTATCTGTTATATTAGAAATATGATCTGTAATAAAAATTTATTTAAAAATTAGTTCTTTTAAATTTTAATGTAATAAAAAGCAAAAATTTGCAATATACTCGAATTAAATTATGAGTGAAGAACTAAAGAGGCATATTTAGCGACATCTTACAGGTAAGTTATTAACTAAAAATATTTTCCTATATCAGAAATACACAACAATTACATCTTTCTATATATCTTAATATCTTCAAAAGATTAAAACATGAGACAAGTATAAATCAATCGACAGTCATCGACAATCAATGCTACAACCTATTTGCTGAAAGCGCAAGTATGGCGTAGGCGGTTATACTTATTCATTAATGTAGACAAAGCGTCTACGGATAGATAGCACGACAAATATTTATTTCCCATGATTTTTTCAAAAGTTGTCAATTTTTTTCGACTTAAACGCATAAATAAAAGTTACATATATACCTTGAGTCTAGAAGAGCCTAGAATAATAATAAAACAAAATTTATATTTAAATAACTACATAGAAAAACTAAGTATGCTAGAAAAATTATCTAAGTTACGTATAAATAATAATAATAATAATAAATTCTTATTCTACTAAAACAAATTTAAATTATGCTGTTAGCATATATAGAAAATTCTATTTGGCGGTTTTTTAATTTTATATATTTTTCGATTTATTAATTATTAAATATTCATGTAACCCATCCCTTATACCATATGAGGATGTTCATTAGAGTAGAATAAAATATTGAAGATGTTGATAATTAAATTCCAATAGAAAAAAAAAGTTGGGTTAGTCTCCTTATTATGGAAAAAAAATATTTTTTATGAATATCTTCAGGTATTCAAGAGGATTGAGAATTTGACTGTGAGGGTATTTTTTCGTTTTTTCACTTATCTTTTAATCTATACCATTCACGGGAAAAATTATTGAACTAAATATTTACCATAAAAAATTGTTATTAGCAAAAAAACCGCATCTATAATACTTAGTTATTAAAATTAAAAGAACATCATATTTTTATCTTTACTGTTGAAATTGTTATTATCAGTTTATTTATATATTGCAGACGAAATATTCAACATACAGAAAAAATGTTTGTATAAAAATTGTTTAGAATTTAATTGTTTATTATTTGTGTTGTGTATATCATTTCTTTTATCAAACGTAATTGTTATAATTGAGTTATAGGTTCGAAAAAATTAATTTTAATTTTTTAATTTTGACTCTCACAGTCAAATTTTCAATTCTCTTGCGGAACCTGAAAATATTAAAAAAAGAAATATTTTTCCCATAATAAGGAGACTAAACTGCAACTTTTTTTTCTATTAGAATTTAATTATCAACATTTTCAATATTTCGTTCCACCCTAGTGTTCATGTCTTTGCCTATCAGCAGACAGATGTTCGATAACCGTTCAGCTGCTAACGAATGTTGTCTACGATGGTCGACGGTGGTGATCGAAGTACAAAGCTTTCTGAATCGAGCGACATGGGAAATCAATTCCCATTGTTTTTCTTTTTCATATATTCGGGCGTGATCTTTTATTACTAAATGATACTAAATAAATTTAAAATAATACGTAAAGTATGAAAATTGATTTGCGTTTATTTTATATACGAGAGCGGTATTAAAGTATACAGCTTAATAATAAAAAAAAATAACATATTTAATATATCGTCTAATAAATTTAAATAAATCACAAAATGGTCTCGCCCAACCTACTGGACCACCACAGAAAGATTTAGAAAACATAGAAAATTTAACATCAGAGTCATTTTAATATTCTTTTAAAAACAATAAGAAATAAAAAACCTAGCACAGGGGGGTCGCTGCACAGTGGTGATGTGGCATAGTTGTATCAAGTATAATGATATCTATCAGTGATTAAAATTACTATCATAAAAAATGCTTCGATACAAATCTTTAGATAGTGTTTAATTTTTAAAAATTGGTGGATTATTCCAAAAGCTACATGATCTGCTATTTCCTTATTAATAATCTGATTAAGGTAAAATATGTCGAATGAAAAAGGGATTATTAAAAAATATTATTTCTCATAAAAAAGTTATGAGATCCATACACTTTTCAATAAGTTATAGAATTATAAAGTTAAAAATGTAAAAAATGAAATCGAGAATTTTCGCACAAAAATAGCATTCGATAGCCATTTTTACCGTTAAGTGTAAAAGTAAATTTTTTGTGAAAAAGTTGTCATTTTAAATCCCTACCTGTGGGCAGATAAAGGGACAGATTAAAAAAAAAATATACCAAATGATAGGTAAAGACGTCAAGCATCTACCAGATAACTGATAGATATTTTTTTGATTATTAAAAAAAATTAAGGGGTAGCGTAAAAAAAAACCATTCGATTTTTGAGGGTCACCCTAATTACATGTTTATTTGATAATAGTTTTATTTAAAAAAATTTTTAAAACGGTATGTTTTATATTTTTACTAAAATATTCAAAGTTTCTACTCTTCTTTAAGTCTGTGTAAATGCTTATCTTTTTATCTTTACTATATTGAAATCCAGATCTGTATATATTTCTTTGATTTTATTTTCAATTTCTTTTTAAAAACGTCTTCTAAAATTTGTGTAACTATACAAACCATGATGCAGTTGAACTATTTTGTGTGTATGTTGGGAATAAACAAGGCTTGATGTTTGGTCGTAAATATCTGCTTTTTTAATATTATGTTCCTCTAAAATACTGTTGAGTTTACTTTTGTCATCAGTAAAGTAAAATAAATCTTCTTCAATTTGAGTCAAATTTTTGTCGAAGTTATCGAACTCTTTATTTACTTTTTGTGCAAGTTCATCCATTTTTTTCTAGTATAATAGGTGTAGTTTAATAGATATTAGGTCTTTAAGTAAATTATTTGCACTCATAAATTTTTCGTAAGATCAGTGGATTTTACAATGGTCTATTTCAATGATTTTCTCCAGATTGCATAATTGATTTCCCATGTTTTTCTTAATTCTATTTTAACTAATACAATTAAAAGCTGTGTATATCTACTTTTAGTTTCAATATTTTTAATATAAGTAACTATCCAAGATAAATCTTACGATTTAGCAGGTTTTTATTAACAATTAACAATTAATAAGCAACATTGCTTTTTCTAATTTTTAGCTTTGATGCTAAGCTGAGAAGATTTACCATGATGTTTTTTTTTTGTGTGTGTTTGTTGCCACTTTATAATCAACTCTCACTAAACCGATTCCTTTCAACATCACGTCAAAATATCAAAAATCGTATCTAGTTGAATATAGTACCTTAAAAATTGAAAAAATTCCCCTCGTTCCCCGTAAATAGGGTAAATTTCCGAAAACAATTTTTAAAATCAATTATTTTTGACATTTTTTTCTCTTTTTTTTTTAAAAACTACCACAACTTTTTAAAAAATGAACAAATTAGAATAATTTTTTTTTACATTGAAACTTAAGGTATCTTTTTTAAATTTGATATATTTTTTGAATATCTGACTCAAATATTTTGCTTTTTTTTAGTTAGAAAAAAATTTTCAAATAATTTTATTTTTATCTCATCTCGATTCAATAACTTCAATAAATTAAAGGATCCCACCATTGTAGTCTCCTCTCGTGAGAAGAAATTTAAATCATAAATCTAAAAAAAGAAATAGTTTTAGTTTCACCTGAATATAACGATAGATTTTTATAATTATAATTAGATTTTATAATACGCTCAATCGAGTAAATTTTTTTGATAACTTTTAGCTACGATTCAAAGCTGAGAAAGAATTAGTTTTACTTTGATGTGTTTTTTTTGTGTCTGTTATCACTTTTTCTTAGGTCTCACCAAATCGATTTCTTTCATCGATACGTCAAAAGATCACAAATCGTATCTATTCGAAGATATTACCCTCCAAAATTGAAAAATTTCTTTTGTTCCTCGTAAATGGGGGAAATCTCCAAAAAAATTACAAAGTTAAAAATCGCTAATTTTCGAAAATTTATTAATTTTTTTTACTTAAAACTGCCATAACTTTTTCAAAAATTAACAAATCAATATAATTTTTTTTGTAGATGCATGACGTCTTTACCTTTCATTTGATATATTTTTTTTTATAAATTTAACCCTTTACCTGCCCACAGGGGGGGATTTAAAATGACAACTTTTTCACAAAAAAATTACTTTTACAACTTAACTTTGAAAGTGTTCCGGAAAGTCTGTCACTTTAAAAATGATGTAATATATAATTATATAAAAATATATATTATATTTTTGAATCTAAGAATTGCTAATCTAGATATAATTAAGGAAATAGAAGTTGATGTTGCTTTTGTAATTATCCATTAATTTCTTAGGATTAAAAACTGCAGATTTATATCGAAGCGTTTCTTATGATAGTGATTTTAATTACTGTCAGATTAAATCTATACTGGATTAAACTATCCCGCGTCCCCAACGTGCTACGATTCCACTGTGCTGGGTTTTTTATTATTATTATTATTACATTCTTATAGCATTATATTTTTAATTTGTCTTTTTTTTTTTAAATCAAGATAGTGTCTTTTCTATTGATTTAGCTAATGTATTCAAATTTGTATGAATAGTTTGTCTAAAAATAACAATTTTTTTATAAGTATACTTTAATATTTACATAAGATGCTCTTTTTAAATTTAAATATATAAAAAATTAATTATTTCATCGACTGGATATATATATATAAACTGTACATGGGTGTATAGCCCATATAACCAAATATTGTCATTTATTATTCAGAATTTAACACTTATAGTAAAAATGAAGGTGAGTAATACTCTTTACTTAAAGTGCTTGATTGAAATCTAAAAGATTATTTTATTTTATTGTAGAATTGGCAAATTATATCAGTATTGTTGTTAATATCATGTTTGAATTTTAACAAAGGTGAATATTATTTTGTTATATTATTAATTTTTTTTATCGCTTTATAAGCCCATTAAGGGCCATAGTGGCCTCCCCCAAAGGAGAAGTTTCTTAACCATTGATACTCTGGCACGGTCCTGGTTGGTCTGTCGCCGGAGAGAGAGATGGCGTCTCTAATTATCGAACTGATCTCTCGTTCGGCAAATGAGCCGTACGTGACCAAGTTTCGATCCCGAGGAGATGCGCGTCAAGCTCTGTCGCGTTACCGACTCGGTCACACTGTCTCTTTTGTACTATTCACACATTTTATATTTATAATCTATCCATTTAAGTTAATGTATTATTTTAAGTGATTCATACAGGATTTTTTTAATATTAGTTTGCTACTCTCTTAGTTATACTGAGTGATCAGTTAAGGATAAAAAAATTCTTTTTTTTTTGGAAATTATTGAAAATTTTCAATTATAATAAAGGGAAAAAACGATAGCACAGTGTGGATGTGGCATAGTTAGGACAAGTATAGATGATATCTGATTGTGATAAAATTACTTTTATAAGAACGCTTTGACGCATATCTCTAGGTTTAATTTTAAGAATTTGGTGAATTATACCAAAAGCATTATTAATTCCATTTCCTTTATTATTCCTGATTAGAAGTTTTTTTAATTAGAAGTATAATATATGAATAAATATTTATTATAGCAATTAAATATAGAATTAGATTGATATTTAATAATTTAGTATTTTAATTTTTTCAAAGAATTTATAACAAATTATTCATTATATATTACTTTTATATATAAATTTTAAAGGGCTTGATATAATTCTTTTCAAAAAAAATTGTATGTTACTTATAAATAAATTTATAGGTAAACAATGTCATGAGAAACCAAAATATGCTTTTCTAAACCTATTTTTGCGTCTTTTTCAAATCTGCAATTAAAGTTTTACATATGGACTAAATAATAACAAAATCCTTCTAATTAATAAAACAATTTTTTATGTTTGATTTTTCTGTTAACTATAAATATCTAACTGGTATATTTTAATTAAACAAAAATTTAACAAACAGAATGTATTATGTGAAGTATATCAATAAAAATAATTATTTATACACCAAGTGTTCCATATAAATGCTTAATAAAACTTCTGTTTAAACAATTTGTTACAATAAAATATTTTTAACAAAATTTTGAGTTTTCCTCATAAATTTACTATTAATAGTAATCAATAGATATTAAAGTTCTAATTTTTTTTTCATAATAATGTATATTACATAGGCTTTAATATTATTTATATGCTAACAAGGGGGATAAAAAATAGCAACTATTGCACAAAAAATTAACTTTGTAAAATGATCCAAAAATCCCGACACTTATATTTATATATACATCTTAAATTAAACCTTATATTAATTATTAAAAAAAAATTCATTTCTGGAGTTGTCTTAGTGGTGAAAACGGTCATCGAAGTTAAGAAAAATATACGATTTTTTTTTTGTGAAAATTAAAAAAAAGTTAATAAATTCTTTTGCAAAAACTTATGTGTAAACTGCATTGGTGCATTATGAAAGATATGGTTAGTGTAGTATACCATTTTAATACATGTAATATTTAATACTTATACTTAATAAAATATATCACCACATCAGTGTTCCACCGTGGATAAGATAAGTAATAAAATAATACCCTTACACAAGATTTAACTACCCTCATTCGCATTCCATAAAACGCACACTTAAAAGATTCTATCACATTAACCAATCAAATACAACAAAAAATATTTCAAGAATCTCATCACAGAATTCTAAACCAGTTTTGCTGGCTATAAAAAGGCCATTTTCCTCCAAATTCGTGTGGTTTTTGTACAGGTTATGTACGGTTTCTGAACATTCTTTTCGCTGACACTGGGACGCCTTGCCATTCTATCTCTGCGTCTCTACGGCTCTCTGGAACTCTGGAATTCTCAACTAAAATACACAATTGAATGTACGTAAGTGTATGTTTCGTTCATAGTTACATTTTTATATCAAATATGCACGATTTTTATGCTCCTTTCCTAATCACTGGGATTTACAAGAAATATTATACATCTTATTTTCGGTCGAATACTTTTGGTGATATAAATATTCTAACACATATAAAATATTGGTATTTATTTTTTTTTTTNGAATACTTTTGGTGATATAAATATTCTAACACATATAAAATATTGGTATTTATTTATTTCTTTTTATCTACATATATATAAATACACTGAAAAATTCATGACTAGATTGCATTGTGTTCTATTACTTATTGAATCGCTACAACCTGGCTGGACAGAATACTAGCACAATAACATCATAGTTAATATTCCAACTAATTATAAGCATTCTCCAAAGTGTCTCTCCATTTATCAACTAGCCAGTCTAATCTCTGCCACATTGCGGGCCATCGGAGTGTAGAATAATGATTTTGAAATATTGAACTAGAAGTAGCTAGGAAAAGTGACAGAATTATAGTCCTAAACTAATTTTCGAGAAAAATGTTTTGAATGTAGTAAGTACCACAAATAGGATGTAATTAAATAGACAAGGAAGTGTTTTGGAGAGTGATGGATAAGGTTATGTAAAGAATACCTGGTAATGAGGATGCGGTAATAGGTAAAGATATGAATGAACATCTAGGTATTAAGAGAAGAAGATATGAAAGAGTACGTGGAGGGTATGGTTTTAGTGGGAAGAATGAGACTTGAGAATGTTTCTTATATTTCGCAGTATCGTATGATTTTGCTGTGGTTAATACTTATTTTAGAAAGAGATAAGCACAGTATATACTTTATAAGAGTGGGAGTAATAGATCACAGATTAATAGTTTGATGTGGAAGAGAGAGAGTGTAAAGTGAGTAAAAGATTGTTAAGTTATCACAAGCAAGAGTGTAATTTCACAACATAGACTTATGTAATGGAGCTGCGGGAAGAGAATATACAAAAACAGAAAGAACACAAGAGGAGAATCGAGAATCCCATAGTAAAAATTGAAAGAGGAAAAAGAAAAAAGTTTATAAAGACGGTAGAAGAGAGAAAAAGGCTTAGATGGATGAATGGAGTGACAAATAATGACGAACATATAAGATGGAATATAGTTGTAGCGTCAAGCATGGATAGAATGAGAGAAAATAGTCTTATATGTTTTTGTCGTGTTATGAGGAGAGAAGAATCGGAAGCTGAAAGAACAATTATAGAAATAAATTTTGAAGAAAGAGAGGTAGAGGATGATCACAAAAGTGATGGAGGAATGTTATTGTTTGCGATATGAGGACGGCTGATGTGTGCGTAGATGTAGTGGAAGATCGTGTCAAGTGGAAGTTTTTGGAAAGAGTGGTCGACCCCAAATATTTGGGATCGAGTTGAGAAAAAAGAAGAAGAAGAATGTTATTAAAGTACACATTGTGAAATATTTGATTCTATTGTATATCATATAATTATCGTACATCATTTGATAGTAGCTTTCAACTACAAAGTTAAAAAAATTCAATTTGTTATTTATTCATATCTTAACTCTATTTGTTTGGTCTGCTATCATTTTATGCTATTCAAATTTCTTAGTAACACGTTATTATTTATGTAATTTTTAAAATCATGATTTTGGGTATTAACTGAATTTGAAAATGGATTTTTGCAATTATAATCAATTTTTATAATAGTTATATTTAGTTTCGATGCCAAGTTGAGAAAGTATTTATCTTGTGATGGTGTTCGTTTTTTTATGTCTGTCCATAATAAACATCACTTTACTAATTAATATGTCAAAAAATCCTATTTTTATCTTGTTGAACACACTGTTGCCAAAATAGGAATAAAGTCTTAAATTTTAAATATCTTAAAACTGCTATAACATCTTATTAAAAACATCGATCCTATTTATATTTCAATACAGTATACTAAATTCAATATATTCTATGGGTTTGGTTGTTATTATAGTCTAATAAAAAATCTAAATACAAAAATAATTTGAATAAATCACACTCGTATGTCAAATTTTTTTATCTTCGATGCGAAGCTGAGACAAAAAAATGTATCCCGACGACCTATCTTCTATGCGCAAATGGCTACCGTATTCAAAAATATGCTATTTTTGTGTTAAAATCCTGGGTTTTGTATTTTATTTTACTTTAAAATATCTTATAAGGGCAATACACTGACTTTCATGAATATTTTATAATTTAATTGACAAAGAATAAAGTTCATAAGACATATGTAATTAAACTTTTTTTATATTTTTAAAATCGAAAAAGTAATTTTTAAATTTGAAACATGGGCTGAAAAGTCCCGGGCCTAACACATGGANATAGCTTAACACATGGGCTGAAAAGTCCCGGGCCTAACACATGGAGGGCGCTACTTTTTTGGAATTAATCTCATTTTTAGTTGGTACTAACCTACAAAAGTCAGCTGTTAAACTTTCATGACAATCTGTTCATTAGTGTGTGAGCTATTGTGCTAAGAGTGAAGCTACTTTTGTAAATTTCAAAAATGGATCAAAAACAATTTCGTGTATTAATTTTACATTGCTTCTTGATGGGAAAAAATACCGTTCAGGCAAAGAAATGGCTTGAGAATTGTTATGGGGACTCTGCTCCATCAGATACAACAATAAAACGTTGGTATTCTGAATTCAAACGTGGTCATAGAGACACAGATGATGCAGAACGCAGTGGACGTCCAAATGAGGCAGTAACCCCAGAAAATATTGAAAAAATTCACAAAATTGTTTTAAATGATCGTAAAATGAAGTTGCGTGATATAGCTGACATCATAAAGATATCAAAAGAACGTGTTGGCTTTATATTGCATGAGCATTTGTCATGAGAAAGCTCTGTTCAAAGTGGGTGCCGCGTTTGCTCACTGTTGAGCAAAAACAACAACGTGTTGATGATTCTAAGCAGTGTTTGGTCATGTTCAAACGTAATAAACCGGAATTTTTGCGTCGATACATCACTATGGATGAAACATGGATCCATCCCTTCACTCCTGAATC